CTTGCTAGTTTCCAAATTTTTAATGATGTACAACATGTATCCAAGGTCTTATTGTTAATGAAATGTTATAAGTTTTTCCCGTCAATATATATATGTGTGTGTGTGTGTGTGTGTGTGTGTATATATATATATATATATATATATATATATATATATATATATATATATATATATATATATATATATATATATATATATATATATATATATATATATATATATATATATATATATATATATATATAAGATCTGACCTGATCAGAAGGGAACCACTGGACCGCCACGCGTCTTTGACTTGCTACCTATTCACTGGTGTTAAAGAGGAGAAGGGGGAGTGTACCTGCAAGACACTCCGATGCCAAAGTAAGGAATTTGGACAGAGTGAAAGCAAATACAGAAAAGAGGTTAAGAAGTGAATACCTGACCCTCTTGTGGAAGAGGGTATTTATAGAGAGACCCCGGCGCAGGGCCAACAGTCATTTGAGTTAGGCTGGATGGTCAAGCCCAACCCAAGTGATTGTTAGGGCTTACATGGAGTAGTGAAGACCAGAACGTAGTCTTCGCCCTAGTTCAACTGCTCCGTGAACTCCGGAGAGTGGGTTGACCTGCTCTTTCAGAGGTGGGCAGTTGGTTGATAACGTGTCCCCGCGGAGGGGAGCACGTGGACAACGTGTGAGGCACACGTCTTTCTGCCCGACGGGAGCCTCGTGTTCGACACAGATGAGGGGAACTCATTTGGGCCTTTCACCAAGTATAAGTGTGCTGGGCCTTCCCGGTCAAGCTGGGGCCCAGGTCAGAATAGGAGCCCCCCGAGTCGTAGCTCCGCGGTGAGGGAGCGAGGACTTGATGACATCGTGTTTAGGCGGGAGAGCGTGTCTGGGAAGCTGTTGTCGGGCCCCGGTATCGGAGAAATGTCTCTGCTCGACGTGAATGTGTTGCGAGCATGGAGGTGTTCGGTCCGTCGGGTGTCCATGCCGAGGAAGCTCCCCCTGACGTTGTTGTCGGGGAGGCGTAATGTTGTTGTCGGGGAGATGTGAAAGGATGCGACTGTCAGCCTTCGCCACGTGTCAAGCGTTGGACAGGCCAAGTGGGGCGGCTACCCTAGGGCATTCAAGTGCCTATGGACGCTTTGAGTCCCATGTTGGGGGTATAAGTACGTGAGCGCATGTCCATTCCATATTTTTCGCTTTTTCTTCCTTTCTCACGTAACGACTGCTTCGTTCGTGCCTGCTCTACATCTCCGTCGTACCAATCGCCGCGCACTCTGCCGTTACCTACAAACCAGTAAGTCTCCTCTCCTTTCCTTTTATCGTTTTGTATCTTTGAATTGCCACCAGAGTGTGTTGAGTGCCCCGAGGACGGAGGTGAATCTCCTTCGTTCCGTCCGAGGAGGGATGCGAAAGTACGCCGCGATAGGCGGCGTTTTCTAGGAGTAGGACGAATGCGCCAAGGTCGTGAGGGGTGAGGTTTTGAATTTCTCGGGGACAGATACTAGTTTCAGATGAACGCCCTGGGGACGGGTAATGGTATTCCATGAGTTCCCTAGGGAGGATGGTAGGTTTAGAAAGGTTCCCCGGGGAAGTCAAGGAATGTAGGACGAACTCCCCGGGGATGCTTGCCTGGATGAGGTTTCCCCGTCGTCGAGGTTGTCCCCGTCGCCCTTTCACTTGGTCTACGGTGGAAGGGTAAATTTGATCACGGACATCGAATTCACCGTTTCCTTCTGCTTTTCAGGTGTTAATGACATTGTTGATCCCGGGGACTATGGACGTGGACGACGAGCTAAAGGTGCCCACCATTGAGAACGCAGTTCGGCCAGTCGAGGAATCGGTGGCTGAGGAACCCCTGACTACCCCTTTGTACTTCGTGGATGGTGAGAATGGCGCCTTCGCCAGCGTCGAGGATAGGTGTCAGGATGACCCCCAAAATTGGAAGGCGTACCGCCCGCGCGAGCATCACCGTATCTGCTCGTCGTTTGGGAAGATGCGCTTTCCTATGTACGAATTTTGTTTTTAGGAAGCCGGGCTCAGGCTGCCGTTCACGGATTTCCAACTGGGGGTCTTCGATTGGTTACGGTTAGCCCCCTCGCAGCTGCACCCTAACGTCGCAGCCTTTGTCCGCGCGTTCGAGATTGTCTGCCGATATTTGGAGATCGGTGCGACGTTGCCGCTGTTCTTCTGACTTTTTCACCTGCAACGGCAAATAGTAGATGGTCGGCATGGGTGGGTTTCGCTAAATCAACCGAAGAAACTTTTTCGGACATATATGGATTCTGTCCGGGATTTCAAGGCCCGGTTCTTCGTTGTGAAGCCGATATCTCATGGGGCGTGCTCCTTGTTGTACCGGCGAGAAGAGCGAGTAGTGAACGGGCAACGGGGGGAAGTCTTGATCCCGAAGGTTCCCTTGGAGTGGACTGAGGAGCACTTCGCGAGGGGCACTGTTCGATATATCGTGCGGGCAGAGACCCTCGGCGAGGATGACTTAGCCGGTTATCAGAGGATAGTTGGGTTCGTGGCCGGCCTACCTCCGGTGAACCTCGTGATGCACGACGGTAGATACATCCGCGACAGTGAGGGGCGTGTTTGCCAGAAGTCGAGGTTGATAAGCACGAAGGCTCTGCTCGAGTGTTCGACGGAGGAGGAGGCCCTTAGTTATCTCGGTGGTGGTCGTCTCTCTCTTCCCCTGTCCTCTCAACTATTTATACTTTTGCTGACATCTTTCTTTTATTTTGCAAGGAGCATGTCTACTGCCGAGGAGAAGGTGAAGAGGTTGGCTTCGAACAGGGTCGCGGTCAAAGTCGGTAAAACGCGGGTTGCCCAGATGGTCGGGCGAGTTGCTTCTGATCAGGGAGGTGGGGGTTCCTCGTCGTCACCCCAGGGGAGCCAGTCCCCGTCGTCTCAAGGTGCTGCTAAGCGGGCCAAGGTTCATCATCCGGAGGGCCTCGCGACTTGACGACAGGGTTCACTGAGGAGGGCTTCTTAATCCCGCCGTGCTACCAGCATCCTGGCTTCTTTCACGGTGCTCGGTCGACGGGAGCCCCGTGCTCGACACAGATGAGGTGAACTCATTTGGTCCTTTCACCAAGTATAAGTGGGTTGGGTCTTCCCGGTCATGCGGGGGCCCAGGCCAAAACGGGAGCCCCCCAAGTCGTAGCTCCGCGGTGAGGGAACGAGGACTTGATGACATCGTGCTTAGGCAGGAGAGTGTGTCGGGGAAGCTGTTGTCGGGCACCGGTATCGGAGAAATGTCCCTGCTCGACGTGAATGCCTGGTCGACGGGAGCCTCGTGCTCGACACAGATGAGGGGAACTCACTTGGGCCTTTCACCAAGTATAAGTGGGCTGGGCCTTCCCGGTCAAGCGGGGGCCCAAGGCAGAACAATATATATATATATATATATATATATATATATATATATATATATATATATATATATATATATATATATATATATATATATATATATATATATATATATATATATATATATATATATATATATATATATATATATATATATATATATATATATATATATATATATATATATATATAATATCTAGTGAGAATGAATAAGAACGATCAAATTTTAAAAGAAAAATGTTACATTCATTCTCATTTCCTCTTTCCTCTTAATGATACATTAAAACCACCATATAATCTCTCATTTTTCTTTTTAAATCAGATAGTTCTTATTCATATATATATATATATATATATATATGATTTCTGCTGAATATTTACTATAACTAAATTTTTAGAATTTTATCAAAGTTTTGAGAGTAAATATAAATTATAAGAGCATTGAAATTGATTTATTTAAAATGCATGTAAATTGTAACCCTCTAATTTTTGTCCTCATAGCCTTACTAATCTTTAAGTATCCAATGAAAATATACTATAAATTTCTTGCATAATAAAAAATCAAAAAACACTAGTCCTGATTACATTAGCCCCTAATGAAATAAAAATATAGAATATGAACTATTCCACATTTAAAATAAATATATACGTATTCTTAGTATATGATAAAAAATAATTCTGAATTTGCACAGATAAAAAATTCAAAAAATATTTTTTTTGAAGATTGAATCAGCCACAATATGAAAATTTCAAATAAACCTATCCCACGTTTTAAATATTCATTCTACAATAAATTAAAAAACAATGATTTTATATTTAAAAAGTCATTCTTAGATATCTAGTAGAAAGGAAAATAGTATTTCAACCAATAAAGATGAACAAGTGGACGACATGTACAGAGGTAAATCTAACTATTTAAGATATGAAATTCTCTTACAAGATTGCCAAAAAAAAAAATTCATTTGTATTTACTATTTAGTTGGAACATCCATTCTTAAGCTTCTCATACTATTGTCTATTTCCAGATGTTCTTTAATCTATTTCCTTATGAATGTAATGTCTTAAGAATGTTCGAGTAAAAAATTACTAGTTAATGATTAATGTTAAGGAGAATAAAAGATGGTAAAAATTGATGAAGAAATAAATCTCGAGAAAGAAAGCCACCAAAACAGGTATAACAACCCATAACTAGAAGGGAAAAAAAGAAGCTTTTCAATGGGCAGCTCTAAGGCTATGTAAAGTCGCGCTAAGTTGAAACATTGGAGCGTTTCCAGTATCCTGATATGCCCAGTATCATGATATGCCGTAAAGCCACAAAACCTCACAAATTCCGACCCAATAATGGAGGATTCCTTTTCTAAATGAAATCATCTACAGAGACAATTATTGTAAAAGAAAAATTGTTCCCATAAACACTTTGTGCTATTCTTAGATCATAGAATTACAAAATAATAATATGTATCAACCAATTGAAGATTGCCTCATCGTATTATTTAGACAAAAAACATTCACATGATAAAACCCACCAAAACACTAATTAAACTGCAAGAGTTCCATCTCAAGAGTATCTATCCTTTATGGCACCATATTTCATGACAAAGGTGAATCAATTAATTCAAAATAAATGAACAACTAAATTCAAGACTCGCGAGACTTCACAATGAAATTCTGGCGACTAATAGGATTCATCACCACTGGTGGACCAGCAGTGCGAGGCCATGCCTGAAACTTCTTGTCGGTCTCTTCAAACCACTTCTCGTTTGAAGCTGTGGCACACACAGAACCTGAAGAAAGAATTTGAAGTTACATACAGCTGAAACAGCCACAGTACAACACAGCACAAATCAATCCCTACAGAAATTCAAAACTTACCTCCAAATATCTTTTTGTCTGAAACAAAATGATCACAAACCCAAGCAACTCCAAACGATGCAGCTAAAGCAGCTACGATGTACTTTCCCGACATGATGAAAAATCAAACTGTATATGTACAAAAAATAGTTAACTTCATTGAAATAGATAAAGAGAATGGCTAAAGGAGAGAAATATACATCTCTTAACATAAAACAAAGAAAGAAACTGACAAAAAATTGTGACATCAACAATCAGGGCTGATTTCAGACAAAAGCATAAACCAAACAAGATTCCTCTAATACCATTTACTCATAAACATAACTAATGAAATCCCTTTGATATTAAATCTCAATATAAGCCACATAATGCTCAACATACTAACAACTAGGAACACAGTGATATTAGATTCCAACCCCAACTAGGAACACAGTGATATTAGATTCCAACCCCAACTAGGAACACAGTGAAATTAGATCCCAACCTATACATGCAAAAAATATAAATAAGAGCTCAATGGTTATAAATCTCACAGTTTCTCAAAATCTTAACAATAACAAAATTAATTTTAAAACATGACAATATAAACATACCATGGGATTTGAGATGAAAGTGTAAAAGGGTTTTGCAGTCTCATTGTATATCAATTAAATACATACCATAGAGGCATAGTCAAAGTCAATAGACAATTAACATATGACAACCCTATATTGATGTGAACATTTCAAATCTTTCCAGAAACGAAAACATTAACTAATATAACTAATGAACTGTGGATTGTGTACAGACAAAGTAAAACCCAACAACAAAAACAACAACCAAGCCTTATCCAACCAAGTGGGGTCAGAGACATGGATCAACTTCAGCCATAGTATTCTATCAAGACCATGCTAACAAAGTAAAACCCAACACCATAACAAAATTGATTTGAATAAGTTTCTGAAGTGACACCTAAAGGGTTTTTAAGGGAATTACCGAAGAAAGTAAGACACTAATTTACAAAATATATCAGAGCCATAGCTTCATTGAAGCCACCGCAAAAAAAAAACACTTATTATTTATTAACAACAGAGTATATTAGAAGAGTAATTGTATTTCAAGAAGAAAAAAATTGGATAAGGAAGGGAATCAAAATTGCACAAAAATCCAACTCAAAATTTGATTAACCTAAGATCCAATAACAATTAAATACAGGATTGGCAGAATCAATTGAAGAAAAATCAATTCGAAAAAATCGAGAGAAAAAATAAACAAAAAGTAAAATTGAAACGGAAAGTAAGAATTGGAACCTATTCGTTAATCATAAAATCGAAGCAATCAAGACAATAACAGTTTGAAACGAAACAGAATTCGATCGGTAAACACAAATAACAGATAGAAAATGGAGAGAAAGGATCGAAAAAGCATAGAGAGAGGATTTCTAGGGTTAGGGTTTCGTACCTGAAGCTTGAGATCTATTTGATTTGTGCGATGATGCAAAATGAAGAAATGACAGAGAAACGCGACTTCTACTACTCCCAGAGAGCCAGAAACGTTGCTGGTAACTTTAGAATTTATAATTAATTGGGCTTTTTAAATCGGCCCATTATTCTATCATTACCCAAAGTTGAGATGTTTACTATTTGCACCTCTCTAAATTTCAATATCAGTGCTTTAACCTCGCTCTACTCTCCATTAAATATCATCATCTCCTCTATTTTAAAGTAAATAGATCAAAAAATTATTATATTTAAATCAAACAACTTTGAAAAAATAGTAAATAAATATAAGTCTTGTTTTATTTTTGTACTAAACTCTAAATATGTGAATAGTCCATTAATTAAATTGTAAAACGATTAATTTGTTTTTGAAATCTATACTCAGAAAAATAATTAATTAATTGAAATGGAATTATATATAAAGAATGTTAATCATAGCATAAGGCTAAAAATAAATCATTATGCTTGGTTGAAAGTAGAGGTGGCAATGAAATCCATTTAGATGATATCCATCCAATCCATCCAATCCATCCAATAATTTATCCATCCAATTCATTCATAAGATAAGAGCATCTTTAATGAGAGTAAACTAAATGGGTAAACTAAGATATTTTTTGTGGGTCCAAAGTGTTTTGTAGGATTTAAAAAATTTATAGTTGATTTGAGTAGTTTTTACTTTAATGATGGTTAAGAAACCAAAACTTGACCCTACATTTTATATTTTTTATTCAAGTTACCATTAATTTAATGCTGTTGAAATATTTTATTAATATTAAATAATATTATAATATGTTTCATATTAAATAGTTAACGTTAACTATATAGATAATGAAAACTAAACTTTAGTTCACTAAATGTCATGTCAGCTCTACTATAATGCAAATTCTTTATTACTAACGTAAGCTATACAAAATTTTGCTTTAACAACCATGCCCTAAAGTTGCTCTAAGACAAAAAATAATTTAATGGATTTGATCCAATCCATCCACTAACTCATATGAATGGATTCAATCCATCCATCTCATTTTATAAATTCATTGGATATTATGTTGTCACTTATTAACTTAAGAATTTTTAAATTAATTTTTTGGATGGATAGATATCCATCCATTAGAAATATGTTAATGGATGAATTAGATGGATTTTATCTTTTAATAAATGGATTGGATTGAATTTTTATTAAGAGAGTTTAGTGGATTGTTAATGGATTAATGGATTGCTTTGATCCATCCATTAACAATCCCATCCATATCCATCCAATCCATCCATTTTGCCAGCTCTAGTTGAAAGTCTCTCGAGAATAATTGGGTGAAATTAAATATGGATTGAGTTTGTTTCGAAGAAAAGTGAGTTGGATGTGGAGGTATCAATAGAGACATGAATGGAGAGTGCAAGGGTAGGTTCACAAATTCAAAGGTAATTGCAGTGCGGTCAAAATAAGACTATGGAAAATTTGAAGGTTTATCGCTTATTAAGGACTTAGGCTTTTTGAAAGTGGTGTTGACATGAAATTAAGGTAGTTATCAGAATGACCAACTTAGGCATGACCTTGGATATGGATGGTCATTCGTTAGTAAATCGAATCATGTGTCTCATGACGATGTTCGAAGAAGTGAAGGTGAAGTTCACTTACATGGAAGCAAATTTATGTGCAAATGTTCTAGTTAAAGTAGGTGTTAAAAGTGAAGGTGATTTTGTTTTTAGAGCAGAAACTCTGAGTTTTATTAGTCAGCTTTCTTTTCCTGACACACACAATTTATAATGTGACAGATAGAGAATGTCTTTCTCTCTATTTTTCTTTCCTCCATTCGTTTCTTCTTCAATCTTTATTTTTTTATGCTAAAACTCATAAAATCCATTTGGTGTTGGCTCTTAATTTACTTAATCATAAAACCCACTTGATTGAATTTTTAAAAGAAAAAGAAATTTTTTATAATTTAGGATCCGTAAATCCTCTGTTTCTAAAAAAAACTTGAAATTGTCAAATTCTTTATTGCTCATCTAAAAGGAAAATCATTTTAAGAATTTTTAAAACAAATGAAAACTCAAATTTTCCTTGTGTTGAAGGTAATATTAAAATATGTAACCTTTCATGACTTGGTTTTACTTGTGATTGTTTGATGATTTTTTGTCATAGACAATTTTAGATTATTGTTGTAATATCTCGGCCTAAATTATTGATTAAAAGTTCACTCATTCGTTTAATTAATGAAATTTGAAAATTAAGGATAAAGTAATCATTTTATCATGAAAGACATTTTAGTCATTTTCAAAGATGTCACATGGTGTCTCAAGTTAAATTAAGGAGCAATTGATAGGGGGTCTGTTTGAATTGATGGAAAGGGATGAAATGGAATGGAGTGGAGTGGAGTGGAGTTATGTTCCATTGTTTGAATTTACAAAAATTGAATGAAATGAAATTGAGTATGATGGAACACATTCCATCCAATACCACTATTTTGACCCATTTTTCATTCCCCAAATTGGGGTGTATCTAATGGAATGAAATCAATTAATAAAACAATTACAATTTTATCCTCCAAATTTTCACTTTTATTATTAATCGTTCCTATTCTTTATTTCAATCAACGTGATATTTTTCTATTCATTCACTGCAACTTTTCTCCTTCACAGGTCTTCTTCTTGCTTGCAAAGAGTCTATCTTTCTTCTATCATAACAAGGTACATCATATTTCTTCTCAATTTTTTACCTATATTTATATGTGTGCATTAAATTAAATATCTTGATTCATCTTCATGTTCATGTCCTTTTCATTTTCCAGAAATTAGGTATAGTTACTAAAAACAAAACCAAAAATTATGATTTATGTTACTTTATAGTGTTTTGTATGTTAAATTAACTTTTTATTAAGAACAAAAGTAGAAATTAGATTTGTTGCAAAACTACAGTTCCTGTTGCTTTTCACTACTATTCACGTTGATTATATTCTTATTATGTATAGAGAAAAACTAAAATTAGTTACTGTAACATAAAATTGGCTAATAATATTATGTAGTATAATAGGAAAATAATTATTAGTAACATAAGTTTTGATTTGCTATAAAAATTCTTAATTAATTTGGGATTGAAATTATACATTTGATTTGTTTTAAAAGTTCTTAATCTATTTGTTCTGATTTTGATATGATTTATTTTATTTGTTATAAATATTTTAATTTGATTTATTTGTATATGGATTTATAATTAGAGTAAATTTTACTGTTTAATTTGTTATAGATGACTAATGAAGACATAAGAATCAAGTATATGAAATTGGTTCAAATGATGATTCTTCAAGTATCTATCATTATTGTTCTAATATGTTCGTTAAAAAACAAGCGTAGAAGATTCCAAATACCTTATAGAATCACAAAGCAAAGAGAGAAAGTTAGAAATGAGTTGATGAAACATATTCTAGGAAGTGAGTGATGTTATGATATCATTCGTATGGGTCCCAAAGCTTTCTTAAATTTGTGCACCTTATTACAAGATCAAGATGGACTTACACATACACGAAGAGCGTCTATCGAAGAACAAGTAGCAAAATTTCTTCATATAGTAGGACATAATGTTACAAACTGTGTGATGTCCTTCTTTTTTAGACGCTCTGATGAAACTGTTAGTCGTCATTTTCAT